ACATTGCACTTCGTTAAATGTCTTGATTGATTGCAATCTTTAATTAGAGAAAACACATGTGTGTAGCGCATGTCGGAAAACGTCTGTACTGATGTGTCACCCTGCCTCGCTTTGAGAAAAGCAATGTCCGCGGCTCGATTGCACACGAGTAGAGGCAGGCGCCAGCTAGCTGTTCTCTGCGAGTCAAACCACAATTTTACTACCTACAATAGAACAGTAAAAGCATGCAACAATGACAGTGGGATCGGATGCTGGTAACGCGATACACTTATCCAGAGCCTAAGGAGGGTGTGAGAAAGTAGGCATTTACCTGCAAAATTCCAAAGTTACGAAAACATATGGCATGTGTAAGAGGATGATGTCCGGCTGATACTTATGGGTAACAGAGCTGTCAGACGCACAGATTTGAAAGTACAGCGTATGGCAATTGTGAGTCACGATGAGATCTTTCATTATTCTTAGCGGGTTTAGATGTTCAACCTATACCTGACAATCTCGGATGGCATATGAATAGAAATGACCACAGTAGCTTGCCACGCAATTGACGACTGTCAAACAATTGGCGAACAAGTGTAAAAGTGTACGGCGGTAGTTGAAATATTTGCAAAAATTACCATCTCGGAAACTAAGATAGGTGGATTCGACCTCGTTGTCGTGACCATTGCAGTAAACATCTCTGTGGTATGGATGTTAAGCATTCCCGAGTGCTTACTGGTAAATAAACGTTGACCAACAAACTAACTAGTCCTGAAAATAAATGCAAAGCATTGAATCGAAATAAAGCCAATACAGTGGCGTTTCTATAGACAAACAAGATCTCATCAGCAGCGAGATCACATACTTAGCGTAACACGTGTTAGTTCCCCACACCGTTGCTCACCCCCATTCACCTCCTTGTTGTGATGCCTATATTTCACACTGTTTTATATAAGGCTTATGTTTGAACGCTTCGCTTTTGCTTCCGCCGCCATAAACAAGGGGTCGAACACGATCATTGCTCACACGGTGTTCCCACCAGATACCATCCAAATTGCGAAGGCACCGGTGGTTGAACGTAACTGGCATGTTTACGTCTGCTGATTAAATGGACAAGGTTACCCAACCGTATAGCAGGGTCGAACGTACGGCTGCATTGTGCACTCTACCCGTCAGGGTGAGAGTGATGTCACGCCGGCGCCATAGGTGGCCAAGATTAGCAAAAGCGCCCTGAAACTTTTGCTATATGGTTTGTGATCTCGTCTTCAATTCCAACGGCGCTGATACAACTACCTAGATCGTTGAATCTTCGAACGACTTCTAGCTGATCCCCAAAAGGGGTCAGCGCTGGAAGCAGTCCTTGCTAATCTTCGAGGAAAACTTTGCACTTCGAGGGAGCAAAGCATATCCCAAAACGGCTGACAGCCATTAGTAATCTGTCCGTTACAGCTTAGCATGGTTGTGGGCTACGTACCCACCGCTCTTCTGGTGTCGATAACATTCAACTCAAAGCTATACAGGCAGCAACCAGTGACCTGGCGGAACCTATGGCTAATTGCTATTAGATTTGTCGCTAGGAGAACCAAATTCCAGCAATATGGAAGCGAGGTGTCATCACTCCTATTCATAAGGTAGGTAGTCGCACTGGCCTTACCAATTACCGTCAGATGGCGCCACTTCCTGTGCTTTTCAAACTTATGGAATCAATCGTCGCGGAAGCACTGATACAACTGTGAGACCACAGCATAATAGCCCCGGAGCAACGTGTCTTCCGGTAAAACCGCTCATGCACTACAAACTTGTTAATTGCACTCAATAACCAGATTGAAATAGCTGAAGGTGGGGCTTGTGTTCATGTCATCTACCTAGAATTCCAAAAACCAGTTAATCGCCTAGACCACCAAATTCTCCTCCATAGACATCAGATCTATGACATTGGTAACCCACTGCTGCATTGAATAGGCAATTTCCTGCATGAAGGTCGGTTGGAGGTGTGAGTGAGTGAATCCCTATTCAATGCAATTGAAGTGGAGTGCGGTGTATCCCAAGCCTCGAGGCCTCGACCTTGTCTATTCTTAGTTTGTATAAATGATTTCCTATTACTCACTGATGATATTAGGATATGGCGTGTTATCAGGGAACCGGGCAACCGCGCAAAGCTGCTACACGACGTCAACACGCTTCTGCACTGGTCAGTTCAAAATGCCCTACCATTCAATATAGACAAATGCCGCATTGTTCGAATACGCCATCAGCAGGACTATGTGTATTGGCTTGGGTCGCACATATTTCAAGCCACTTCCAAGGAACGCGACCTTGGTGTGCTAATTCAGATTGGTTTTAACTGTTAAAAACAGTCAGGCAGAAAGAGGCCACGGGCACGTCAGCCTGCTGAGGAGGGCACTCTGGAGCTTAGATCCATCAAACATCCCAATGGTGCACAATTCTTACGTGCACCCTCAAGTTGAGCACGTCATTTAAGCTTGGCAATCTTGGTTGAAGCGCGACCTATAGGTGCTAGAAACATTACAACGCAGCGCTATCAAGTACCACAAGGCTAAAGTCACGGGGAGTTTCCAGCGGACGCTATCGAAGTCTACGCGACCATCTCCAATTTGTGTAACAGATATTGAGTCATCCAAAGTACTCATGTCGGTATTTTATGAAACTCAGTGGTAAGATTAACCTCAGAGGTAACAGCCGCGTGGGATGCCAATGGTATTATTTTTCTCTTCGGGTTTGCTAACCTTGGAACTCTGTCCCGAGCTACGCTGCTACTACCCCAACTTAGGGTTTGGTAAAAAAAAATTGGATGTCATTCTTAGCCCACATCACTTTGTTCCTTAACCTGTGCTACTTTGGAATAGATTAATCATGTCTATTAACCGGATTTAGGTGTCACATAGACCTAAGGAGGCGGGCCAGGAGTATTCTTGTTTTACTTTTCTCACAGAGTACAGCAGCTATAACTGCCCCATATGACATTGTTGTTTACATTCAATTCCCATTTTACCTACTGTAATTCAGCCGCGCATCTGCTCGAGAGACGCTTCAACAGACACATTTCTTTTGATATTGTAGTTTTACCACTGCCACCCGACGGGACTTGTCAAGCGAACATCTTAGATCTTCTACACATCTATGCTGAGGCCACCAAACGCTTTTCACCTTATCATGAATTTTTATTTTGTCTATGATTTCCATCCCAGCGGACCTGTTAAGCATTGCTTTCCTTACTCGTAATACATCATTGTTCCATTGTTCCACCTTCCTGATGATGCACAAATCCTACGTGTGCCCTCACCTTGAATACGTCATCCAAGCTTGGCAACCTCGGTTGAAGAACGGCCTCGAGGTGCAAGAGAAAGCATACTGCAGGACTACGAAGAGTTACAAGGGTCTACGAAACATGTCCTACCAGGAATACTGAAATCAATTGAATTTGCAGTAGACGATACTGAAGGCTGCGCGATGATCTTACCGTTGTTTACCAAATATTGTGTGACACTAACGCATGCCGTCACTTGCTGTAACTCAGCCATCACACCAAGTTCTGAGACTGGGTGAACAGTATAGCCGTCCGGAATGCCGACGTAATTATTTTTCGCTTCGGGTTTACCAACCTAGGAACTTTCTTCTCAAAGTTATTTCCTCCCCCACCTTGGTAATTTTCAGAAACAATTTAATTTTGCGCTTGGCTTCCATCCCTTTGTTGCCTAAGCTGTACTACTTTTGCATATATTATTTATGCCTTCAAGCCGAATGTATAAGTGACATGAACCTAAGGCGGCGGTCCATGCGTGAGTAATCTTATTTTCAATTTTCCCACGGAGTAAATCAGCTATAAATTTCCCCATGTTGTCTTTTCGTTTGTATTCAATTCACATTCGACACTAGCGTTATTCAGCGGCGCACCTGCTTGAGAGACGCTCAAACAGACAGCTCACATATCTAGAGATTTTAGTTTTCTCACTGCCACCCGACGGGACTTGTCAGTCAACTGTTTTTGTGCATGACAAACCATTGTTCATTGTCTAAAAATCTAGGTGAGATGGATCCAGTAGTCAAACTTCTCACCGCCTTGGTGATAAATGAATAATGACTATTGAGATGGCTGAAGGAAAAGTTAAACAACGGATATACATGTTTAAGAAACCAGGAAAACGGCTATCTACATTGATAGTTAAGCGTAAGAAGCAAGCAACTGTATGAAAGAGCGTCGTTGCCTCCGCGAATGCGCCATGGAGAATGGGATGTCTAACCACCGGATCGCCATCCAGGAAGGCAGTACGCACCTTCTGCAACATGCTATACGGTCTATTTCTTCTCGCCTTTATGCTGTTATCGGATTCTTCCAAATAAGGGTGGTAGCTATGCGTGAAGAAGCATATGAGGTTACCAATCGCCCAAAGTCATAACTCGTCCAAAAAGGCCCATGTAAGTATAGTCTACTGTGCAGCGCAACTGGAGCAAGCGACCAAACCTAGTCTCGCAGATATGTTGACTGATGTGATGGGCTAAAAAGTAATAGCCGTAACCGCACTAAAAACAGTAAGTGCGCTAGAATTTGATGTACATAAGTATCATATTTAAAATGAATAGACCGAGTAGGGCAAGAAAAGGCCATACGAGAATTCCGTTCGTGACTGATCTGCGTAATGACTTTCGGTCTCTCTATCAGTATGCCCCGAAACCATTCTCGTGCCTAAGCATAACTTTTGACTCGGTGACTACATGCTTGTTCGTATATACCATAAAAAGGGACGCGCATAAATATGACTGTAATCATGATTTTTGTGTGCAAACGATCTGCTTAATTGGAACCAGAATGTTTGACAAAGATTCAGGCATATGTGATAAACCACTGTGGAGAATAGTCAAACAAATTTCCAAGAGGTAAAGTCGTACTGATGCATATATTTGGTCATTAGTAAACATAATACACGACAGTGGTTGCACAGGTGACAGTATTATATGTGTCAACGATAAAACAGAAACAACTGTCGCAGTGATTCGAAGCTAACCTGCAGCTTGATCGACTCCAACCGCTCTTGGGGGAACTGTACGAAGTGCCGTTCTAGATTCGAATTTCCAGTTTCCGTTACTACACTGGTGACTTCAAGAATTGCAGGTTTGTTCAACATGTGAGTAAGTTACATTACACTGACTTTCCCCGTCAACGCCGAATGTAGTCTGACGGGAACCACCTGAGTAAAGCATGCAGCGAATGAACAGAATAAGGTTACAATTGGAGCTGAGGAGTTATTAGCGCCGAGTCATGTTTTGATGAGTTTGTCACAGACAAATGTTTCTCTTTCGATATAAATTAAAAGATAACAAGGGTATATTTGCGCTTTGACGAAACCTCCACAGAAAGAATGACAGGAAAAAGTCCTTAGAATGTGTTGATGTGAACGAACACAGTAGAAATTGTCACAGCCCCAAATACCTGAGATTTGAACTATGTGGTAAACTGATAAACGCATATATAGCAGGAAGCTTCATTGCAAATTGATCTGATGAAATGATACAGTTTATATTGCAAAAGAAGCTCAGTGAACCGATCGCTTGGACAGGTCGTGTCGAAGAAAAGCAGCAACTCGACAAGTTAGCATTTAAATACAGTTCAGTTCAGCTGAAGAACTATGATATGGGCACGGAAGTGAGGCAGAACTAATTTCCATAAATGCCACCAGAAAAACAATAGAAAAAACGGTAAGAAAGTGCGGCTGAAGGCAAATAGAGGGGAATGGAATAAAGACGGAAGCTCTCAAAACGAAGCGACATGGAATGAAATTCGACATCTGGATGCAAGAAACCGAACGCGATTACGCTACTGACTACGTAACTGCGCTATGTTTGGTGGATTCTCCAATCACTGGTGTGGGCCATCTTGGGGCCTGCATTAACGAAGACGGCACACACCAGCCTGATCAAGTCTATTAGTCAGTATTTTTAATGTCTATACCGTGTCATCGACTGGCCACCTTGGGGTTTCGTCTAACTTGGTGCAACAACGGCGTCTAATGCACGCCGAGGAGGCCGGTCGACGAGCGTACGGAGAAAACGACCAAAACCAATGTAAGCGACTGTGCTTTAGCAAGCACTCGAGCGAAGCTCCAGAAGGCCTCAGAAGGGTTTGAAAACAGCCGGTTGGTGTATGAGTTCAGAGAGGGTTGAGCAAAATCGGTAGGTCGGGTTGATGGACAATGGTTTGCTTTTGACACAAAGTATGGGGATTTATTGGGTATTTTGCGAAGATTCGTGGCTATTTCTACCATTTGCAAATAAGCGGCAGTTACCTTAGCGGCTTACATGTCATCTTCATCGGTGGCCGCTTGCAAAAGAAGTCGTGCCTCTGGGAGCCAGCTCTGTCCTTTGCACATTCATAACATGTATGACAGTGGAGGATGAGCCGTGCAATATCGCAGTTAGATATAAGTCATAGCGGTCCGTTACCGTCAGTGGAATAAGTCGCTAGCTGGCAAGAGTAAGGTTGTGGGTTCAAATCCAGCAGAATGTGGCGGGTGCGCGCCACTGACTAGTCCCACTAGGACAAAACGGCCGTCTAGCGCTTTTTGGATGTGTCGTGGATGTCTGCCTGTCTAACTGTGAATAAACCAGAAATTGTTTGCCCCAAACCTACTGGCGGACTAAGAAGTCAACATCTGAAGTGAGTAATACTCCGCAAGAACCGGTGATCAAACATGGCCGAACGTTCAATGTCTTCACTGCGAACTGGCCAGATCTCTGATGCATAATAGTAACACTGGCGTGATCGCAGCGTTACACACAGTACTTTTCACTGACAGGCTGAGATCCCGCCGTCTCTACAGATAGTTAAGCCTCTGATGATACGCGAAGTAACTTACTCTGCGACGTGACCAAGAAAGGTGACGCAATTACCATGGTAAGTGAATCGGTCTACCATTTTCAGTGGCTGTTCGCTGATAGCTAGAACCGGTAACGTATTGGTGCAGTCCTGCAATAATACCTTACATTTCGAGGGAGTAAAGCACATGCTGAGGCGTGCAACACAAAGCGTCAGGCTATTCATTATTGCTTGTATAGCTACTGTGTCAGATCCAAGGAGAGCTATATCGTCTGCATACTCAAGGTTTGCCAGTCAATCAACTTATAATATTGTTTACTGCGGACTCCATGGCATTCGGTCGCAAATTATAAGATATAGGCACGCCGATGGGATACAAAAGAAGAGCTGTGGAAGACTTGATGTAAGAAGTAAAGCCACCATGCTGACGTTCACGAGAAACGCATGTATAGCTTACAAATGTGTACGACAACGAACAGCCAGTCATCGTATGATGATATAGTCATGGCGTCTATTATTTCACATTCTGCTCAGTCTTACCTCGTATGTAGCTCAGCGAGACAAACGGTTTAAGTGCTTAGTAGAGGTAGTCGATGACGGTGAACGCGCCATTGGTGTAGGTCGTGAGCCATGCCCTCCGTTAGCTTCGATCCAGAACAGTGTGGCTGGTGTACACCACAACACGCAGTCGTCTGCTGTAACGCTGCTTCTTTCAATCTGCTATCTGCCATGAACAACTATTGTACTGTTGCTTTGCTGCCTTAGTGAGACTGCGACTGTTTGACTGCTCAGTCACGCGCCCAGCCAACCGAAGGAACACCGAAGGTCTGAACTCGGTAGACAGAGAAAGAGAGTATATCTACAAAATAGATTAATGCTATTTATTGGTAAACGGAAATTGCTAATTTAGGAGGTCAAGGTCACTCACACTTCTACACATATAATCACACTTCTACCAGTGTGAATGAATTCCGCTCCACGGGCTTATCGTATCGACTGAATAGTTCGATTCCTTTGACACGGACTGGTATTAGCTGGCTGATCAATTTTCACTCGATTCCCAAATTCGGCGGAATGGTCAAAGGTAGTATCACGTTCGTGCTGATGACGTTTGCATGTAGCGGACAGTCTAGGTGCTCCGCTTACGCCTCTATTACCGCCCCACCCTAGTCAGCCCTGAGAAATTAAGTCGCTTACTTGTTAAAATTCATGTGATTGATTGTGCTCGAAAATATAAGTTAAACTGGGATAATAAGATTCTTATACATATATTTCCTACAATCTGGAGGCGAAAGCGGCAAGCATCCACATCATGTTCTTCCAAGTAATCAACACAACAAGCATAAGAGATCATCTGCCAACGAAAAGTAATAATATTTGTATTTAATATAAAAACAAGAAACTACGTCTTGCCTGCAACCTAGTAGACTTTCATGGACAATTCATGCGTCCACTTTTACAGAGTAATTTCACCTTCAGGTTGTGCACTTTATGCCGTGACAATTTAACGTGTGAGTTACATCTGAAAATAAATTTGTTGACTTCGTTTGTCTTACACGTAGCCACCTAAAGAGGGTAATAAGTCCTTATTGAAGAACTGTGGCGATTGTAAACGATTTGCTTTGTCTTCTTCACAGAATCAATGCATTAAAAAGTAAACAATGGGCAATGATTTTCTACGGGTTAAGAAGCGCTACTTTACAAGGCATGTTGTGTGGTCTGGTATGGTTATCGAAAAACGCTAAGTAGAAAGGGTAGTTGGTACTTTTAATGTCAGAAAAAGGGACTTATCGTCTGTAATCCAGTAGTCTTGCATCCTTGGAAGTTTCACGGCACTGAGGTATTTCTTGGGAGTAGAACATATAGCTAATGCTAAGTAACAAAACGCAGGTGGCTGAATGCGCCATCCAACCAACTTTTAAAAATGACTAGTATATGTGCAGAAAGCACCAATTCGAGGAGAGCGTTGTACGAGTGTTACACACAAATAGAAAAGAGATTTATGCAGCCCTCCAAGTGGCTGTGCTGTTCTGTCAGTCTCAAGGAGTGACATGTCAATTATAGCTCCTTACCACCACTCCGTCCGGCCCTACTAGAGGAGACTTGAGTGGGTAAATCACTAGACCTTAACGACCTTCGTTACCCCACAATTCACGCTGGGCTGTAGCATATAGTATATAGCTTTTTTCTTCCCATTTAAAAGATAGATGACTGCCATTAACACTCGTGCAATGAGGAAAAAGAGTGCGGAAAACCGAATAATCACGGTAAACAATAACGTTGCGTTCACGAGTCCCAAGTAAGCTGTGCCCCGTTGCACACATTCCGAGCCACTTGGGATACAAAAGCAGGTAAATGAGTTCAAAAGACAAGTGACAGTGAGTTCAGTTAGTGTTGTCGACCTTATATCTCCACTGTCAGCCAAAATAATGTTGGAGAAACAGTTAGCCGAACAAAATGAGAAACTAAACTTGAATACCTCAGTTGGGAATATCCTTACGTCAGTTTCATACATAATTCAGACTCCGGCTAATCCATCGCAAAAGCACAAAACTGGAGCATTAAACTTTCTAAATGCAGTCGGCTCTGAGGTTATCCAAAGATGCAGAAGGGGAACAAACGCCATCGCCCTCAACGTAGCTGACAGTATCACTATTGACAACTTTAGGCATTCTGTTTCGAGAGCTTGCAACATCGCTGAGACCGATATTAGTTGTAGAAGATGAAGGAAAAAATCTTTACGTTTTCCTTGCCCGACTCTGTTCCGCTTTCATAGTGAAAGTCTCGCGAGTTCGTTTATCAAATGTCAAAATACCTTAAGATTTGTTCCAAAATTTTGCAGTTATTCTATTCGAAGACAAGTCACTTTGTAACGTGAACTTCAACGCATGTGTGCAACTAATGTCTCGCCTGAGTCGAAGCAGCGTCATCTTCTATGCGCGCCTCCTGGAGTGCTAAGAAAGAGGTAATACAAAAGTGCTTGGTTCTCCCCTTCTAAAAACGCAGATAATGTTAGCAACCCCACTCTATACACAAGCGATGCTAAGCTGCGCGACAGCGTAGCGGAAATTGAGTTGCTCACGCCTCCACACCACATTAGTCTTATGGACATAGGAAACAGTGTAGATTCACTGGATGCACCACGTTCTGACAAACCAGTAGGGGTTGGGATCAATCCCCACGCCGCGATTGAAACAGAGACAGGTGCAAAAACATCCAATGGGACTATCGATAGCTCCAGTGAAGGTGCATTACAGCCTAATGACATTATGACTAAACATAGCAGCAGTGGACATGGTTCACGCCCTAAGCGTCTTAGATCAAACAGAGCCTTCATGCTGGTAAAGTGACTCCCCGTATCCAATGATAGTCGTGA